TTCGGCAACTTCATCTTTCTTGCTCTCCAGGGCTCTGGCTCCCCATCCCAGGCACCCCCTTCCCTCAGGTGCCTGGGGAGGAGTCCACCCGATGAGCAGAGGGGCCCTCCAGTTCCCCCACCCGGCAGCCTGGGCCTAGATCTTCTCCCTGTGGCCACCTCGTCGCCCTCTTCCCAGAGGTGGCCCCACAGAGCTCTCCCGTGGTCAGAACCAGGCCCCCGTCCTGGGGCTCTTGCTTATGAGACCAGACGTCCCAATTTTTAACAATTTGTCCCACATCTGTCGGCGTTTTAAAAAAAAAAAGTCCTGATTTTTGGAAAGAAATCGGGACTTTTTTTAAAATGCCGCGGGACTCGGGACAAATTGTTAAAAATTGGGACTTTCCCGCCAAAAGCGGGACGTCTGGTCACCTTACTCTAACTGTTACTAGTTGCTGGTCCCTCCTTGCTGTGCCCCCCGCCCCCCCTGGGCCTTGGCACCTGCCTCCCACCACACCTGCCTGGGAGCCACTGTGGCCACAGGCGTCTGACGTGGCACACTCCGCCGGCTTCCGCGTCTTACCCGCCAGCCCCCCGGATGGCAGGGGCTCCGGGAGCACAGCATCACTCTGTGTCCCTGCCTTGGGGACTCCGGAGGGCGCTCCACTGCCCTCACCCAGGACCTGCGTCACATTTAGTTCCTAGCAGGGCCCTGGGTGTGGTGCCCATGGAGGAGACAGCCTCCCACCGAAGGCGGGTGATCTTCAAGTGGGGGGTTCAGCCCAGGCGTCCCTGCCCCAGCCTCCCTCGCTAGCCCAGCGGGGAGGAATCCTGGTGGTCCAGACCCATGAGACCTCAAGATGGTGTGTCCCTGAGCCAACCCCCGTCTGTGGCCAGAGAGCTGGAGGGGTCCTCACCCACGGCCAGTGGAGTTGGTCCAGGACAGAGTGAGAGTCTGTGCACGGGGTCAGCCCTGAGTGAAGATTGGGAAATCTGGGCTCCAGAGGTCACCGAAGCCCAGGGTCAAGACCTCGCCTCTCAGCCCGGTGTCTGTGGCACCTTCTGCCCTGGCTGCCTCCGCTCCTTGGGCTGGTCCCCCTCAGGCCGCCATCACGGGCTTGTTCCCTATGCCCGCCCCTCACATGTGCCTGTTCCCCAGGCCTGGCACCCTCCCCTGCCATCTGCTCTCCTGGGCACGCTCCTCCACTCCGGGCGCTCCGGCTGTGCGCACATCCCGGCTCGTCCTCCTGCCCAGACCCCTGGCCGGAGCCCCAGAGCCTGGGACCTGCCTGCCTTTCCGGCCTCTCCGGCTGGGAGGCCCATCAGGGCTGCCCCTGAGCCTCTCACCTCCCACCCTGCCTGATCCAGCCCCCTCCCCCTCCCCCTCCCATGTTCCCTGCCTCTGAGAACGGCACAGCCAGCCACCCAGCTCCGGAGTTAGAATTAGGAATCATCCAACGCACAGTCATTCTCCACACCTCCCTCTTCCCCCCACGTGGGATTGGTCATCACTCCCATGGGTTTCGCCTTCAGAAAGGATCCCCAGCGCCTGCTCTTCCCTGAGCCGCGATGGCGGCGTCTTAGGGCAGGGCCTGGCACCTCGCTCTGGTTCCCACAGCTGCCGCCTGCTCTCCGGTCCTTCCTCCGCACCCTCTGCCACCAGAGAGACCTTTCTAAAGGGGAGCCCACTCCTGCCCAGAATGCTTCCCCGGAGCCTTGCTGCCCTCGGATAAAATGCTGACACCTCACCACGGGCTTCCAGCGCCTGACTGTTTCACCTCCACTTCCTGCCACGCACCCCACAGGCCCAACACTGCCCACAGCAAGCAGGTCATGCTGTCCAGCCGATGCTTTTTCTCCTCCCAGCAAGTTTCCCTTCCTCCATGTCCTTCCTGGCCCGCCTCCTCTGAGAAGTCCTCCTTCTTTGCTGTTCCACTGGTACATGCTGACTCCGCCCCCTCCCCAGTTTCCATGGCGCTGTGTCTCCCTGGGATCCATCTGCTTCCCTCGCTGGCTCCTCCCCTCGACGTGGAGCTCCTCAAGGGCATGAGCTGATCTTCTCTCTCCCGCTCTGTGTGCCCAGCCTTGGTGCATGGCGTTGGCAGCCATAAACATCTGCCGGCTGGAGGGCTGATGGCGTCGACATGAGAGGAAGAGCCTCGCCTGCCAGCTCTATCCCCACACCCTGCTCCTGTGTGCCCCAGTCACCTCCCCCCAGGACCTTCCCACTGCCTGCATCTCCCCCATGCTTCCCTCCCCCCAGCTGCCCTCAGCACAGCCTGGGGGAGCCTGCGGGTGCTGGATCTGTGATGGCCTCCACTGGAAGGGTCACCGGGGCCAGCCCCTCTCCAGAGAGTGAGCCGAGTGGCCGTGGCCGTGGCCGTGGCCGTGGCCGTGGCCCATGGTCCTCCACTGGGGTGGTGAGCGGCAGCCTCTCTCTGCGATTTCCATGCGGGCCTCGGTGCTTCAGTGAAAGCCGGCATGGGAAGTTGCTAATAATGGCACTAAAATAAAATATGCTACATCTGTTATGGGTAGCAGAACAAAATTAGCTGCTCACACCTCTGACATCCAAGATGTCTTAACTTAAAATACTCCTTGGCTTACTTTACATCATTTACTGATTATATTTAAAAGAAATACAATTTTGCAATTACTGTTCTTTCCAGCGTGATATCTATGCATCATTTTCCTTTTATGTTTATATATTTCTCCTTCATTAGTGCAGTCTGAAGGGTGATTAGGATTCTTCAAACATTTTACAGAGGTTAAACGTTGATTAAGATTTAATTATTACTGTAAATAGCTTGGAATGACATATGGTGCAAAAGCCTGACATATGTGCATTTGAATAAATGAAGTGCTATTTCCCAGGATGCCTCAGTAGCTGTTTAACAGCTTTCCCGAAGGGTTATGTTACACCTCATGGTAAGATTGCTGGGATGTTATATTTTGTTGGTTTTTGCAGCTGAAAGCTAAGAACAGTTTTCCAGTTTTTTAAAAACATTGAATATTTTAAATACCTAAATTGTTTTGCACAAATTTTTGCTAATTTGTCTAACTAGGTTAAACATTTTCAAAAGCATTTAGATTTTTAAGCGTGGGCGCTGTGCATTGTGTCAGTGGCAGCATGGGGACGAGGCGAGCGGGTGGAGTGGAGGGAACTCAGAGGCCAGCAGGGGTGGGGACGGGGGAGGTGGTGTGGGGAGCAGGGGTGGGGAAGAGGCCCAGGCCTTGAACCTGGTTCTTGTCTCTTTGGCCCTCTCAAATGGCCAGAGCCTGGGTATTGGGGTACCAGGGACTACAGGGGAAGGGTCCCCCTTCTCCAGAAACTCTGCTATGCCCACTGCCCTAGTCCATACCAAACCGCCCCCTTGTCTGGCCTCTGACATGTGCAGCCTGTGTACGACTGAGTTCTTTGTAGGCAACGCTGGTCTGTGGCACCTTATGCCTGGGCCCCAGGGTCCCTGGGCAGAGTACCATTAGGTGGCAGCATGGCGAGCTGGATTGGGGCAGGGGTTGGTTCAGTTCCATTTTAGATAGGGTCAGTTCAGGTGCCTACAAGACATCACAGGAACGTGTAGCAAGCAGTCCGTTGTGGGCCCAAGACTCAGGGGGGAATGTGGCTAGAGACTCCTCAGATCTGGGAGTCGCAGGGAAGGTTCTGTGAGCAGGGAAGAGGGCCCAACCAGGGACCCTGGAAAGTGTCCAGCGGATGTCACACAAAAAAGGGGGGTCAGCAGTGACCTGGGAGAGAAAGATTTTTTGTGGAACGCGGCGGGAACTGAAGCCAGATTTCCTGTGGGTTGAAAAGCCAGTGGGAGGTGAGGAGGTGGAGGTGGCTACGGCTAAGATAGTGCCTTGAAGAAATGTGGTTGCTGGGGAGGAGAGCTACCCAGTGTGACGTGGGGTTGAGGGGAGGTCTGTCTTAGTCAGAAGGTGCTTGTCTGTGTTGAAATGCTGGAGGGCAGGAGTCAGCAAAGGAGATGGGAAAGAGGGAGGACAATCCAGGCGTGGGCTCCTGGAGTGGACAGGGGGAGCTGGAGCTTATGGGAACACCTCTGAGGGGAGGGGAGGGGTAGCAGGAGGGCAGGTGTGGAGCAGAGGTGGACACAGTAGGCCGTGAGTTTATGATGGGACGCAGATGGGTTGCTTCTGTGATGAGGATGAGGTGACCTCTGTGGAGAACTGGAGAGCGAGGTGACTGGCGATGTGGCCAGGGGGTGAGGGTGCTGCTGGCTACTGTGAGGATCCAGCCAAAGTCCTGGACCCTGGATGCTGAATGTGTCCAGTAGGTGGTCAGGTTCAAGTGGAGACAAGAAGGCTGCATGATTGTGTCCTCCAAAGCCAGTCAGGGCAGGACGGACCTGGGGCTGAAGTAATAGCCCCTCATGTCCAGGTGAGGGGGAGGAGAATGGGAAGCCGAACTGTAGAGTCTGGGGCCTGAGGTCTCGGTGGCCTAAAAACAAACAGGGAGCCCAGTAAGCCTGGCTCAGTGGCTGAGTGTCAACCTATGAACCAGGAGGTCCCGGTTTGATTCCCGGTCAGGGCATATGCCCAGGTTGTGGGCTCCATCCCCAGTAGGGGTGTGCAGGAGGCAGCCGATCAATGATTCTCTCTCATCATTGACGTTTCTCTCCCTCTCCCTTCTTCTCTGAAATCAATAAAAATATATATTTAAAAGAAAAACAGTCAGGGAGAGTAAATGGGATGCTGGAATGATAGGGGTCTATGGGGTCAAACAGGGTGAGTGAGTGGGGCGCTAGAAGGATTGGGGTCCGAGAGGGTAGGGTTTGGATTTGAGGAGTTTGGGTAGAGCAGCCCTGGTTGGTGTGGCCCTGGGAAGGGATTCATGCAGCACAATGGACAAGGTATTGGAGAGAAATAACAGAACTCAGAGGCCGAGCATACGATGCTCTCTTACATGGACACACTGACAGAGGAAGAGGCTTGGGCAGGAAGGGATTCCGTGAGCCCCTCTCCTCCCCCCTCACCTTTCCTCCCTCTGTTCTCTCTCCTCAGATCGAAACATCCCAGTTAGAGCCTGAGATTGCCCGGGCCACCAGCAGCCGGACAGTGGTGTACAACAAGGGGCTGTGAGTGGTGGCCGGCTGGCCGGGGGCGCAGCCTTGTCCAGCCTGGGGAGCTGGGGGCGGGGGGTCTCCATCCGCAGTGGTAGGGAGACTAATCTATTCACCTGTTAACCTAAGGGAGAGGCATTCTGACACATTTCCTACAAAAATAATCAAGTGCATTTCTGGGCCTTACGTGGGGTTTGCCGAAACTCTACTCAGCACAATGATGTGAGAAGCTGGAGAAGTGTAGAGTGCCCACAGGGTAGAATTAGGGTCCTTTTCTACTTTATTTTTATTATTTTTTATTTTTTATCAGAACCAAGCCTTGGTTGCAGCCGCTCAGATGCTGCTAGCAGGCGGTCCGGTGGTGGGAGGAAGGGGAGGCCTGAGAGCCGGCTGGTGTGGTGGCAGGGCTGGTAGATTGAAGATATTGTTGTGGCCAAGACCGATGCCTCTCTGGGTGCCCAGGGGTCGGGAAGGGAGGGGGGGGGCGGTGGACACCTCACAGGACGAGCCAGCGATGACTGAGGTCCTCAGGAGGTGGCCCAGGAAACCAAGGCGCACCGGAGGTCTCTGGAAGATTCCATGGGGAGCCACCTCTGCGTGTGGCCGGCCTTCAAGATCCAGGCCGCACTGGCTGGCATCACCCTTCAGGGAGCCCTGACATAGGGGAGGCCCCTGAGGTGACCCCAGCTCCAGGCAGGAGGCTCCAAGAAGGACTGATGGTGGGCAGGAGCCGGGGGCATGCAGTCTGGCCTTTGCTGGGAGATCTTCCTTTCCAGTACCAGGCTGGCAGCTGGCAGGGCCGAATGTGGGCATTAGGCTGGAGCCAGGCTGACTGCCACAGAACAGGAGGGCCCCATGCCTGAGAGTACAAAGCCAGAGCTCGAGGCACCTATCGGAGAGGAAGCATCCACCCGGGAATCAAAGCGGGCGTGGCGCTGGCTGGCTGCGTCACCTTGGACCAGCCCACGTCCTTCTCTGAGCCTCCACCCCCACGTCTGGAACCAGAAGGACTGGATCAAGGGATTCCCACCTGCGCGTCCAGCTAGATCTCGTCTTGGCCTGTTCCGCTCAGATGCTGGTCATCCCGGGCGCATCCCAATACGAACACTGGACTGGGGAAGGGGCGGGTCCCTTTGGGCATGGCCAGCAAGCGGCCTGAGCACCTGGACTCTGCTGTTCTGTATGTGATCCCCCCCCCCAAAAAAAAATCCTGGGAGCGCTGGACCTTTGCCAAACACTTTGCAGTTGTGAAGGAGGAGGTGGTATGGATGCATGGGCTGGAGCCACACCCCCATGCCGCCTCTCATCCTTCCCTCACCTCCGAGGCCCCTGGCTGCTGGCTGCTGGCTGCTGCCTCCCTCCCAGGGCGGGCCAGGAAAGGGGAGAGCTCTGCAGAGGAAGTCGGGGCTGGGATGGGGTGAACAGGGGAACCTCTCATCTGAAAAGCCCCAAAAAGAGGACGCCTGGGCCTCAAGGTACCTCTCACCTGATCCCAGCTGGAATGAGCCTTCCACTTGCAGCCTCGGGGCCTCCCTCCCCCGGTGCCTGACTCCAGGGGAGAGGCGTGGCTGGAGGTGGACAGGTACGTGCAGGGGAAGGCCGTGCGGGCAGCGGAGGCCTGGCCACAGGCTCTGCTCCCCTCGGGGCAGGGGGAGTTGTGGTGAGGTGGGTCTCCTACAGGCACTGGCAGCAGACACCCCACCAGAAGCCCCTGCTGCCTTCCCCTCCCAGCCGGGCCCTGGAGCCTCCCCGCTAGCTCTGCAGGGTGAGCCCTGAGGGCCCCCACTCTCTCAAGGAGCAGCCCGCCCGCTGCCCATCAGCACGGGGAGAAGGCAGAGACAAGCATCGAAGACAAAGCGGCAGAGGGAAGGGCTGCCACGGTGTCGGAGGGACAGGTATTTTTCAGTTACTCCCGCCATAATGTGAACATGCTAGCGCCTGGGGCCTGGGCAGGCCTGGGCCCTCTTTTGCAAAGCTCACTTCAGGCTCACACACCCCCCCTCCCCCCCACCTCTCCTTGGGTCTTATTCTTGTGCACTTTACCTTGGGACCAAAACCGCTCACCCCAGCTCCACCCCCGCCCCCTCCAGAGGCCTAGCAGAGATGGGATCTCTCCATCTCTCCTCTGGGCTGGCTGCCCCGGCCCAGCCCCGTGGCCTCTGCATCGCATAACCTGTTTACTTTGTCCCCCAGATGATTTCCGGGCATGCTCCCAAACGCAGTTTCAGGTGACTTGGGGGGGAAGGAGGGCTCCTCCTGGTAGGATGGTGGCGGCGAAGGATCCTTATAGCTCAGGGTGATGGTGACAGAGTTCGGCTAGCCGGGCAGCTAGGCCCTGGTCTGGCTGCGGAAAACACTAAGAGGGGAGACTTTCCGTTAACATCCAGCCCCTCTTGGCTGAGGCCAGAGGAAGGGAGGCCTCATGGGAAGATGGTTTCACGTCTGGGGAGGAGGCTGAGTCAGGGCAAGGCTGGCCCAGCAGAGCCAGAATCCAGGCTGTACCTGCAGCTGATTCTCTGTCTTCGGTGTATCTGCCTGGCCCTCGTCTGGTCACTTCAAACTGCAGTTCAAGAGCCACATGCAGCTCTTTGGCCCCATGAGTGTGGCTCTTCCACAAAATACCACGGCCTGGGCGAGTCTATATTGAAGAAGTCGCATTAGAAGAAGTTTACATTTAAAAAATGTGGCTCTCAAAAGAAATGTCAAACATTGTCCTGTTGATATCTGGCTCAGTGGACTAATGAGTTTGCCGACCACTGACTTTAAACATTCCTGAAGGCTTGGGATGCCCCTCTCCCGTTTCCAGAGAGCAGTCTGCATGTGCAGGGACCAAAAGCTCAAGAAGTCAAGATGGCTGCTGAGTCAGGATGGCCAGCATCCCATTTCACGTCCTGATTGGGGAGGAGGAGGGGGAGGGTTCTGTTTCCTGTCCTGGGCCTCTCCCCTGGTGGAAGGGTGGGGTTCTGGGAGGAAACAGGCCCGTGGACAGAAGCAAGGTGGTTTCCCAGGCCTGGGCCTCGGTCATACCCAGGTTACTGTGCAGTGTCTTTTTAACCTTCTCAGAAACTTTCTCAACCTCTGTGATTTATGTAATACTAATGAACTGTGGGCAATAAACGATGGATTTAAAGCATCAAGGCCTGGCTTTGTGCATCATGGGTGGAGAGGTGGGGGCAGGGAAACAGTGGGAACAAGCCGATGGCCAGGCGAGGATTTTATGGGAAGGCCCCTGAGGAAGAGGCGGGCCAGGCTCAGGAGGGGCAGACCCTCTGGGGGCCCGGAGGGAAGGGTAGAGGAAAGGGCAGAAGAGCATGTGAGGGCAGGAAGCTGGACAACGGGGATGAATTGAAACTGCAGAAGGAACCCTCTTTGCAGAGCTGTTGCTGGGCACTTACTGCAAGGAACTAGAGTAGGAAAGGGATTTCGGTAGATTCCCATACTGTTTACGTCCAGGGGACTAGCAGGGAGAGTGGTGGTGGGGGTCACTCTGGACTGCCCGGGGGGCCAAGAGAGGCTGCACAGGGTGGGAAGGTTTGAGCCGAGTGGAAAGGTACCTGATGTCCACAGTGTGCCCGGCACCAGTCTAACTCCTCCACAGTCCCTCAGGGCCAGGCCTTGGCTGCCTCCTGAGAGCTCTGGGGCCTCCAAGCATCTTCCACGCCTGTGGGGTGACCAAGCAGTGGAGGTGGGGTTTACCGTTGGGGTCAGGCCAGCCCAGATCCCGGCCCCAGCTTAGCCCCAGCCTCACTCATTGGCCCATTCCTTGGATCAGATGTGTGTGGAGCATATTCTCTTTTAGAGCCGTGGTGTCCTTAGTGATAAAATGCCAGGAACAGCATCGTTTGCTGGACTGGTGGACGGAGATTAGAGGGGCAAGGAGAGGAACTCACCCAGACCCTCCTCTCACCTCCCCAGTGTCAGGGCTGTGGGGCCTCCCTAGGAGGGTGGGGGAGGGAAAGGGTTGGGGGAAGGGTCTGTCCCAAAGTGACACTCCTGGGTCAGGGGGCTCCGGGTCTCTGGGGAATTTCTTTGCTAAAAGCCCCACTGGCCACAACCCCCATCCGGGTGTCGGAAATCCTTGACTCTCGGGACAGACACAAATCCCTCCCGGGAGCTGTTTGTTGTTTTTAGCTGGTCTGGGGTCTCCGCTCCTGCCCTGCCCAGAGATCATTAACACTCCAGGAATGTGGCTTCCACCTGCTGGCCCCTGGGGCCTCCCTCCTCCACTCAGGCCCTGGTTAGACGGGAGTCAGAATGCTGGGATGAGGGCAGTGATGAGTGACCCTTTCCCAAGGCCCTGGGGGGCCGAGCCTCAACTTCAGAGCAGCTTCCCCTCAGTCCCCAGAGCTGCTGCTGCTCCTGCCATCTCACCATCCCCATGGCTCTGGCTAGCCTGGCAAACAGGAACCTCTCAGCCACTCCCTGCAAGGCCTAGCCCCCCTCCACCCCCCCCCCCCCCCCACACACACACCCATGCTTCCAGGTGACTCTGGGTAGTACCTAAGAGCTATTCCCCTCTCCATGTCCCACTCCGAGGGGCAGTAGCTGCTGTTAGCCTTGTCTAAGATCTGAGTCTGGCTCCTCCCCCACAAGGAGCAAGAATCTGGGCTCTCCCCCTTCCCTGGGCCTTATGGGAGGAGGGGGAGAATGAAAAGAGGAAAGAGTCGAAGCCAGTTTGGCTCAGTGGTAGAGCGTCGGTCTGCGGACTGAAAGGTCCCAGGTTTGATTCCGGTCAAGGGCATGTACATTGGTTGCGGGCACATCCCCAGTGTGTGTGTGGGGGAGGGGTGCAAGAGGCAGCTGGTCGATGTTTCTCTCATCGACGTTTCTAGCTCTCTCTCTCTCTCCCTTCCTCTCTGTGAAAAATCAATAAAATATATTAAAAAAAAGAAGAAAAGAGGAAAGAGAAACATGGACAAATGGGTAAATAGGCATAGGCAGACAGCACACCCTTGAAGATCCCATGCAATTGAGCGAGACAGTGAGGGAAGGGGGTGGACCCCTGCCACCCGAGCTGGTTCTCCTGTGCCCAGGTGAGCCTGGCAGAGGGAGGGACAGTACGTAGGGTTGAGCTGCCAGAAGCTCCGTTGTTAGAGAACAGGGGCAAGACCCTGGAGGTGAAAGAGGGCCAGCTGCTGCAGGGCCACGGACAGCTGGGAGCCATCAGAGGCTCTCAGTGGGGAAGTGGATTCATCCGGCAACAGAGTGGAGCGGAGCGTGGAAGCTGGCAAGACTGCTGGGGAGACCAGGGAAGAGGCCCCTGTGGCAGCCCAGGTGAGGGAGCATGGGGGCTGGGCCAGGTCATGGGATGGGGATGGAGAGAAGTGAAGACAGCATCACAACTGCTCAGCTCTTGCTCATTGGCTGTGGGGAAGAGGAGTCGTCAAAGATGGCCCCAAGCTCCCCGCTCGGGCAGCTGAGAACATGGATAGCGGTGCCATTTCTTGGCGCTAAGGAACAGAGAAGGAAGAAAAATTTGCAGAGGAGGTAATGCGCTCTGTTTTACAAGTTAGTGGAGGTTCCGGCAGGATCACCAAGGTGAGATATCAGGAGACAATGAATGGGTGCTTGTCTGGAACTCAGGAAGCAGGTCGAGATTGAATATGCAGACTGGCATGTTATCTACTTATTGACAGCACCTGGAGCTAAACGGCCAGCGCAACCACCCAGGGTAGTGTGTGAGGTGAGAAGAGGAAGATCTGGGATGTCACCTCGAGGTGTCTCCATCTCTGAGACCTGGACTGAGAGACAGGATGCTGCCAAGAAGTGCAGGCTCAAGAAAAGTGTTATGGGCTGAATCAAGTCACCCCACATTCATAGGTTGAAGTCTTAATTTCCCGTATCTCAGAATGTGACTGTATTTGGAGGTTGGATCTTTAGAGGTAATTAAGGTAAAATGAGGTCACTAATCTAATATGACCAGTGTCCTTATAAGAAGAAGAAATTTAGCCCTAACTGCTTTAGCTCAGGGGATAGAGTGTTGGCCTGTGGACTGAAGGGTCCCAAGTTCGATTCCGGCTGGGGGCACATGTCTAGGTTTCGGGCTTGATCCCCAGTAGGGGGCATGCAAGAGGCAGCCAATCAATGATTCTCTCTCATCATTGATGTTTCTATCTCTCTATCCCTCTCCCTTCCTCTCTAAAATTAATAAAAATATATAATGAAAAAAAAGAAGAAGAAGAAACGTAGACGCAGACAAGCATCGAGGGAGAATTCTATGGGAACAGGAAGATAGCCATCTGCAAGTTCAGGAGAGAAGCCTCAGCAAAAACCAGTCAAAGTGCTGGCACTTTGCCTGTGGGCTTCCAGCCTCCAGAACGGTGAGAAGAGAGCTGTTTAAGCCACCCCACCTGTGGTGCTTGTCATGGCAGCCCTAGCGAACTGATATAGGAGGTAAGAGGAAGATAAGGAGAGCACGGTATCCCAGAGGACGAGAGAGTGGGAGACACTGTCCACACACTTAGTCGGTGCTGAGCGTTTAAGGAAGATAAAGACCCTGCAGAGAAGGATCTCCGTGGGGTGTGGTTAGAGCAAAAGTCAGATCATCCTGGGCTGGGAAATTAGGACGCCCGCTGAGTGCCTGTTAGGAAATTCATGTGAGTTGGGCAGAGAGAGATGACAATGGCTGCAGCATGACATGGGGCTAAGGGAGGGCTGTAGACGGGAGACTCTCGGGCCTGTGGAAACTCTAATGGATGAGAGTGGAGGAGACTGTAAAGGCAGAGAAGAAAAAGAACCACCCAGGAAGGAGGTCCTCCTGGGTGCGGGGAGAATCCTTCTTGAGGAGAGAGGAGCTTTGGGCGGCAACAGGAGGCAGGTGAAGAGGATGGGCTGGAAGCAGCGGTGTGAGTTTGAGTGCGGGAAGGTGCCGGGTGAGGCTAGCTTCCCTGGCCCCTCCGATCAGCTCTGCACCTGCTCCATCAGCTCTCCATCCCAAAAGGCTGACTCAAATGGACTTGATGTCTGGCTCCCACCACTGGGGGTCACCACTAGGAAACTGGTGATTGGAGGAGAGTGAGGCTGGGGATTTATCTCTTCCCCTGTCTCCCCACCCCCATCTCCAGACTGCAGTCTGCGGGCCTCCTGCTACTGAAGGCTGCAGCCCCAGAGGGCCCTTCTCCTCCCAGCTGTCTTCTATGATTCGGTAAAGGCTCCTGCCTCTTGCCTCTTCCTGCCTAAGGGCTGTGTGGGCTCCCCATTGTTGCTAGCCTTGTTGCTGCAACATCTCTGTTGACTTTCCAAAATCCATTATTCCACTCTCTTTAAAGTGCCCCACTTAAAGGGTCCAGTCTCTTCCTGCATGCCCCAGACTGATAGGAAGGGGTTCTCTTCCACTGCTGCTTTGTTCTCTCTGAAGATGCAAACCAAGTCCTCTGTGAGGGGGAGAGGGAGGAGGATGGCCGTTTGAGACTTCCCCTATGGAGGATGAGAGTGGACTTATCAACAGGGTGAGGCCTCAGCTGAGGCTGGGATCTTGACCTCCAGGGGGGGGCCATCCAGCAAGCTTGCCTGGTGTCCTTACCACCTGAGCTGCAAGGGCAGGCAAGGAAACAAGTTCAAGCAAGTCTGGGATTTTGCCAGGTGGGCACACCTAAGGAACAGTGGTATTGGAGAGAGAACAGAGGAGCCTGTGGCCAGGAGGGGCCCATGAGGTCAAAGCACGGAGGAAGAGGAGAACTGAGTGAGTGAGCGGGAAGAACATGGCGTCTAGTAGGAAAGGACAGCTGACTGTGGGATTTGAGAGCAGCCACAATTCTGGGGTCTGACAAGGCCTGAGAGTGGTGGTGATGAGGTAAGAGGGAAAGAGAGGCTGGGGTGCCGGGCGGAGTCTTGGGGAGATAGGAAGGCCATAAGCTGGCAGCCACAGTCTTTGACAAATGAGGAGGTACAGCTGAGACATGGCCGCCACTCACTGCCCACGTGCACAGCCGACCGCCCACTCACACCCACGCAGTCACGCTCATGCACACACGCCCACAGCCCTCCCAGACCAGACAGACACCCTCACATGCACTCACCCTCACACACACCCCAGACGGCAGATGGGGTGCTCGGGTAATTGGTTAAACCTGTTCTGATGTCTGGCTCCAAATTGGCAGCACCCGTCTGACAGGAAAGCTGGCTGGGCCTGCTCCGCTCAGCCTGCTGGCCTCCCCGCCCCTCCCCCTGCGTGGCTGCCCTGGAGCGGGGCTCCGGGAGAGGTCTGTGGGCCCAGCCTGGCTCCCTCGTGGCCAGAACCCCGGTCAGGAGGTGAGAGCTCCACAAAGCCCCACCGGAAGCCATCACAGCCCCGGTGAGGAGGAGCTGGTGTAATCCAAGCCACGCGGCTGTGGAGGCCTGAGGGACTCAATGCAGAAAGTTTCGGGGACAAGAGGCTGTGTAAAGATCCTTCCCTGGATGTGAGGCACAGGGCTTGGGCCACAAGAGTTACCAACAGCTCTCCCGTATTCCCTCCTCTTCAGTGCACGCAACGTGGGTTCTCACAGGAGCTCATCACACCTCACCCGCTGGACTCGGCAGGGCCCGGAGGCCAGCACCCCTGAGGGCGATGGCCCAGCCCGGCAGGTTGCTTCAGGGAGGGCCTGCCCCCGCAGCTCCTGTCCACCGTCCTCATCCCTGCAGGCCCTGGTCTCCAGGGGGAGGAGTGGTCGGGGAGGGGAGGGAGCCTTCTGCTCCCCTTCCTGGCTGCATCTGTGTGTCTTTGAGAGAGACTTTGGTTTGTTCCCTGGAGAGGGCCCAAAAACTCCCAAATTAGCAAACCTGGCAAGCCCGCAGCTCAGAAAATAGTTCATCCTGATTCCATGTTTTTTCAGGCTCACAGAAGCCTTTATTAATGAAGTCACAACACCAATATTTACCGTCTGTGGGGAGAGGCACAACATGGGGGATGGATGGGAGCGCTGGGGACTCCCGCCCTGCCCCGCCCCCCGCAGGCCTGGCCTAGGAAGATTGGCAGGTTTCCTTGGGCCCCTTCCAGCTCTCTCTCTGGATGGCAGGGGGTGCTCTGCTGTGGTTTCCCTGCACCCTTTCCCTACCAAGGGAGAGAGAATCCTGAGGGGAACGGCTCACCCATTCCTCCGCCCCCCCCCCATTGCTCATGCCAAAAGGACGTCTCTTCTCCTTACCCTCATCCAACCTGTGTGCTCAAGCTTCCCGGAGGCCAGCCCACCTGCCTGACAGTGAGCGAGTCCACCCGAGGTCCCACCGGGTCTCAGGCAGGATGTGAGGGACGCATTGTCCTGGTTGATGTGGGGAGGGGTGTGGGGATGGTTTCTAGCCCCAAGTGAGAAGCTTATAGACCCAGCACAAGGACCTCCTGGGTTTGGATCCCTAGGTGTGCCCCCCGGCAACAAGGCTGGGCCTTTGACATCTTTCCAGAGACTTTAACATTGACCAAGCCCCCAGGACATTCCAGGCACCAAGAACTATGTAAGTAAAGGCACAGCAGAACCCACAGCCCACTGAGGGACAGGGATGATGTGGGTGAGACTGAAGCAGAAGGTACCAGGAGCGATGTAGAAGAGGTCAGGGTGGGAGAGAAGTTTAGGAAGAATGGGGGACTTAGGAAGGGGGAGACAGGACCCTAATTGGGCTGAGGAAGAGAGCTCTAGCCATGGCACGGAGGTCCTCCTTTGAAGGGGGCCTCATCCTTGACACCCACACAAACTTCATTGTACCTACCATTCCTCCCCTCCCCTCAACACCCCTGGAGCCTTATACACTGTTTCCCAAGAGAGACAAAACCGTGGCCAGTTGCCAAGGCGGGCGATCCTGCAGAAGGGTGGAGAGATGCGTCGGGTTTGAGGTGCTGAGGGGCATGGAGTATGTATACCCCATGGCTGGTGGCCAGCTCAGGGGGCCTGCAGCTCAGTACAGGGCAGCTGGAGGCGTGAACCAGGGGGCCAAAGACATGTCCTGGCAGTGGATGCAAAGCCCCAAGCCAAAGGCACAAGGACTGACCCTGGGGTGGACAGAGGTGACAAAGCAAGGAAGGACTTGGGAGGCAAAAGAAGGTGTCGGAGGTACCCAATGCAGGCGGCAGGGAAGGGTGAGGGAGTCGGGAGGAATGGCCAGAAGACGGGAGCAGGTGAAGCCAGGCGAGAGGCAGTTACGTTTGGCCACGTGTGGGTGGCAGGAAATGACTGCCATCAGCATCAGCAGAGGGTTGGGGACCACTTGGATGTCCTGAGGGAAAGGCTGCTAGGCATACAGGTTTTGCTTTTTTAGGGATGAAAGAAACCTTGGTGTGTGAGAAGCAGGCAAGACAGTGGACATACTGAAGGGCAGGGGAAGTAAAGAGCTGGCGTGCCCTGCTTTGGAGCTCTTTCCCAGGCTGTGTCCTTGGGCACTTGTTGCAGGCTCACCCTCAGGTCCTTTCTCTGAAAGTTTAATTTGCACAAGGAGGTTCTCTGGGGACAGGTTAGCATCCTGGTCAGGCCAGGACTTGGGGCTGGCACTGTCAGCCTCTGTGAAGGCTGCCTCCTCCACCCAACCCCCAGGACTCCCCTTTCCCTCTGGTTTCTCAACTGAAGAGTCTCTACACGTGGGAAGTACGCACACTCTGTCTCCCCTCACCCTCCTGGACCTGATGCTCATTGCCCAACACGTTTGGAGACCAAGCACAGCCTCCCTCATGGACAGGGTCGTCCTTCCCTGTGCCTAGCCTCGGCTTCTCTTGTTGTGGAATTGGAGCTAGAGATCAGGTCGATGCCTAACAAAGGAAAGGAGTTACTAAGTTGAGTCTCTAAGGCTCCCGGGCCCTGAACAAGCCTGCCCAGAAACCGAAGCCACCACCCCCGGCTCACAGGCTCTGGGGTTGGAGTCGGATGCCCGTGTCATTAAGAGAGAGACTTTTATTGTTCCCACAGGGAAGGGAAACACAGGGGAATCACTAAGAACTACAGTGGGTGCCTGGAAAATAAATTAAAACAGAAATGCATCAAAACGAAAAGAGACGGAGAATAGCTGGGAGGCAGCGGTGGCTGTGGGCCTGCCTGGGCAGGCAGGCAGGCGGGCTCTCCGAGGAGAAGGTCGAGCAGTCCCAGGCCTCCGCCAGCCCATTTCTTGTCCCTCCGTCCTCGATGTTGCCCCAGGCTCCAAGTCCTGTGGGGCTGTGACTTGAGGCTTCCCCGCAGAGGGGCCGGGGAGCGGTGAGTCCAGCGGGGCCCCCCGAGGGCCCTGGCAGCGCTCTGCTCTCAGGGGCCTGCGGCCGCCCACCCTAGTCATTGGAGGTGACATCGATGTCCTCCCCGTTGGCCTGCTTGGTGGCGATGCGCCACCGGTTGATGTGGTGGGAGCCCTTCTTCTTCTGCTCGGACTCGGGTCCCTCCTCCTCCAGCTTCTGCCGCTTGTACTTCGTCCTCCGGTTCTGGAACCACACCTTCACCTGGGACGGGGAGGGAGGGAGGGCACAGGTGAGAGACCGCCGCCAGGACCTCAGCACTCAGGACGAGCCGGGAGCCAATGGGGAACCCGAGGCCAGGGTCCTCTCCTCTGGCCAGCCGCCACCTTGGGTTTGAAGAGGACGCAGTGGGCAGAAAGGGGGCCAGGAGGGGTGGCGGAGCTGCCGAGCATCCTGTAGCCACAGCACCAGAGGGGGAGGCCCAGGCTCCGGAGCCCAGCAGACCTGGGTCCCTACGGTTCCTAGAGAAGAGATAATAATCACTCCTCCCCGGGGCTGACGGGAACATAAATGAGGGAACGTACAGAGCCATCGCATGCTCCGTCTGCCTGCTGCTCCTGACCACGCAATGTTTCACTGGGCCCTGCGCAGCCAATGGGCCAGGTCAGCCTGAGTCGGTGGCAGGAGCCTCTGCCAGGTTCCTTCCCTCTCCAGGCTCAATTCCCTCATCTACAGGAGAAAGGCTTTCTGGGGCCCTGGGGGCTCCGGGCACCGCCTGGGCTTTTGCTGCAGAGCATTTCCGGGAAGGTGATGCAGAGTGGCCAGGGTGACAAGGCATGGATGCTTTCCTGGAAGTGACAGCACATTCTAAAGCAAGCAGTGCCAACTGCAGCCAGGGCGATCCATGGTGCCAGTGTGGATGGTGAGTGGTAAGTTGTGTGTGTGGACTGATGGCGAGCACCTTGATTTTGGCAGCAGCAATGGATGCTAAGGGGGGATCCTTGACTCCTGGACTGGGCAGTTCTCAGAAAGACTACCCAGTCCAGCCCCTGCTCCGTAAGGATGGGTGACAGCCACAGGCCTTTCCCATAAAGCCAGGCGATGGCGTTCAAAATCAGGCCTGGCATCCAGGCCCAGGAGGCAGTTTCCTGGCAGTCCCCTCTGTCCCTTCCATGGAGCCCACCCAACCCAGAGCTGTCCCTACCCCCGCCCCCAACCAGGGTTTCCACAGCTCCATCTGCCCTGCCCTTGATGTAAGAGCAATCGACGTGGGGTGGGGTCAACCAGTGCTCAGTGCTACACAGAGCAACCAGCAAGGACAGGAAGAGAGGAGGGGCCTGGCTTCAGGCAGTAAAATGAGGAGAGGGTCCTCTTCTCTCATTCCCAGGGCAGAGTTCAAACCCCTCACCTGTGTGTCTCACCTCAGGTACATGGGGAGGATGGCAGATGCTCTGGGCCCAGGGCTTCTGGATTTGTGCCCACCTTTCCTTGGGCACAGGGCTCTATGGCTCTGTGTGGTTCTCAGCATAACCATTTGGCAGCCAGCCTGGCCCCTGCACACCCCCCAACTTCAACCCTGGAGCCTGTTATGACTGTGCCATCCAGTAGGAGGGTGAGCTTGCCCTGTCTTCTATGCAAGGCACTGTACACGAGTCACATCTGATGCTGGCCTGGGTAGCATTCCTAAGAGCCCGAGGGCTGAATGAGGGTTAGGCATGGCCAGCCTGTTGGGGTGATTCAGGGCAGGACTGGAGTGCACCAGGGACAGAGGGCCCCTTTCTGTGCCTTCTCCCTCCCTCCCACTCCCATCTCTCCTTCTGGGAAGGAGACATGGCGCTAGTGGAAGGGACCCAACCTGCTACCCTTGCCTAGAATCACTGGCCCAGAGAAGGGAAGTTTCAATTGTGGAACTTCCTGGCACACCCAAATGAAAGCTGATTCTGAATATTTTCTTCACGAAACAACCAGTGTCGAGGAGTCGGCTGTCTAGAAACAGGGCTGCACACCCTCTCCCTGGACAGTCTGGCTATCTTCTGGAGAACAGCCTTGGGCTGAGTGTCCAGATGCTGTTTACAAAGACTGAACTAACGGGGAGATGCTTACGATGCAGTAATATTAGTGAAAATGGCAGGGCGCACAGTTTGGGCACAGTGTGAACACAGTCATGGAAAAACAAAATCTATGCATGGGGGAAAAAAGACTAGAAGGAAATGTACCCGAAGTATGAGTGACTTTTCTTTCTTTTCTCCACTTTTCTGGTTTTTCATTAATGCATCATTGATAACAACTAATAGTTGTTTTTTTTGTTGTTGTTGTTTTTTGTTTTTGTTTTTACTTGGAAAAGAAAAGGAACTGGATTCTGGGTGCAGTGGAAAATAAGAGTGACACCCATGACATCTCCAAGCCAGCCTCACCCCGAGCCCCTTCTCTAGAGGAGAGAGGACTACAAGGTCACATAGTGTAGCTACCAGCTCCCTGGGAGCCAGCCTTAGGAGGCTGTACTTCTTCGGTACCTGTTCCCACCCCCAATGTCCACACACCTCTCTCTCTCTGAGCTCCAAAGACACAGCTGAGATGTTGGCTGGAGGAAGCCCTCACCCATCTCTGACCCCTAGGAGTTGGGGAGAGGTTCCTTATGGTCTCCCAAGTCCCTACCTCATCTCTCAGTTTTTCAGATAAGACAGACCCTTTCAAGAGTCTCTGCTTTTCCCTGAGTTACCCAACCTGGAATGCTCTTAGCCTTCAGAACCCTGCTCACCCTGCTCAGATGTTCTGATTCTGGACCTGCCCAACCACCCATCTGTACTTCTTTAGTACTTTTCTCTGACTCAGAAACAGTGACCCCAGCAGTGCACTAATTTATTTGCTCGAAAATGCCTCCTCGCCAGATTATGGGAACCTGGAGAACCAAAGCAGTGAGCTAGTCTGCTTTGGAGTCCTAGGGGACAGGTTCCAGGTCTGTTCAGCAGCTGGACAGAGAGATGAGGTGACCCAGCCCTATGCTCTGGGCCAAACCTGGAAAACAGGAGAAAATCAATGGCAGAGGGACTGAGACCTAATAAAAAAGGGGGGGGTTGGAAAGTGCTAATTGCTGAAGAAATGGGATGCTCTTTTAGCTTAGTTCAGTGGACACATCTACAATACAGTCAATTCTTAATTTTTCATGTTATGGACTGTATTAACTACTTGAAGGGGGAGCCTGGGGAAGGGAGGCATTGTTGGTGGTAACAAGGGTCAGCTTGTGTCAGACAGGATGAAGAAGGTGAAACTACCCAGCTGGTGTGGCTCAGTGGTTGACCATCAACCCATGAACCATGAGTTCACAGGTTCCATTATCAGGACACTTGCTGAGTTGTGGGCTTAATCCCCAGTAGGGGGCGTGAAGGAGGCAGTGGATCAATAATTCTCATCATTGATGTTTCTATCTCTCTCTTCCTTCTTCTCTCTGAAATCAATTTAAAAAACATTAAAATTAATTAATTAAAAAGCAGGTGAAACTGCTATGGATAAATGAATGAATCAATGCATTAGTGCATTGATCAATGTATGCATTAATGAATAAAGGCATGCATGTATTGATGTATGATTGAATAGACAAAGGAACTAACAGGCCAACTACAGCTCCAGCCAGTATTTCAGACTTAACTTTTAAATAATCTGCTGTTTGAATGAACCAGTTCTGGATTCCTTTTTTTCCACCACCCCTCCTTCCCCCTCCCACCCCACAACCTTAGCTCATCCCAAATGGAAAGCTCTGTGGCTTCTGGCCCCTGCCTATTTTCAGGGGAATACCTGTCCTCTCCTCAAGGAGTTAAAATACTCCTATTCAATATTACTTGAGTTTTGTAATTCTGTTACAAAAAGTTGCTCCTTATGTCCTACTATTCTCATCTGCTTTAACTTAAGCCTGTCCTGTTCTGTCATCTCAGACACAGAAACCCTCAGACTAGGTGGAGGCTTAGAGCAGTGTTTTTCAACCTTTTTTGGGCAAAGGCACACTTGTTTCATGAAAAAAATCATGAGGCACACCACCATTAGAAAATGTTAAAAAATTTAACTCTGTGCCTATATTGACTATATATAAAGTAATTCTCTTGAATAGGAATCAAATAAACACAAAGAAAGTATTTTATAATTACTTTATTATGAAATATTAAGTAAACAAAATAGTGAAAAATTATAAAATTCTTGTCTTGTCTGCACCTACAGCACACCAGGCAACATCTCGCGGCACACTAGTGTGCCGCAGAACAGCGGTTGAAAAACGCTGGCTTAGAGACACAAATCAAGCCACCCCTCAGCCTGCTCTCTCGCTGCGCCCTCACCTTGAGGGACAGGCACAGGACAAGAACTCCATTTCCCATCATTTCATCATGTGAGCTGTTCCCACTCTGAAGGTCAAGCCCAATGCCATCCTAAGCTCAACTCTCACCCCATTAAAATGAGGTCACCTCAGACCCCACCTCAACCATAGCCACAACTCTTCCTAAGCCTTCTTTCTCCTCTCTCAGATCAACCTTGCTCTATCCTCAAGTGAATCACCCATGTGGGTCTCCCTGACTTCCCTCAGCCCATACCCATACCTATGACTTTAAGAGGACTCCAGGTGCCCATCGATGCATGTCCCACAAGAGTGCACATTTTGTTTTTAAGTCCCATCACTAAATGAGGAATCTCCAAGGCCAAGGAACACATTTCTGCACCCTTTCCCCTCACAACTCAGCTAAACTTAAAGCTGGGAAAGGTGAAGAAACACCTGCTGAAGTATTCAGAGCAAGAGCGGCAGCTGGAAACATCAGCCAATCCATCAGTTTGGAGCAACCAAATGCTTTCTTTCCTAAAACTAATGTGCCCCCTTCACACACCTGAGCCGAAGCATACAAGCTGCAACCCATGATGCCTTGCTGGCATCTGATGTGTACATATGAAATACCACCTGATCTTTGAGCATCAATAACACCTATATGTGCACACACCCATTATACTCATACCTCCCTACCCCCCGACACATTCATGCACTAGCACTCACTCACTCGCACCAGTCGTGGCTCTGATCTGACCTAACTACCGGGACTGAATTTAGATGGGCAGATTCCAGGGATACACCACAGCGGTGAGGAGCAAGTGATGAGAGCCAGAAGGGAGAAGAGCCTGGGGCCCCTCCCTCCACCTCCTGGATAAACCCACCATAATCCCAGCACAAATACCCTATTTTCCAATCACACATATAGCTTACCCAACAAAGCTCAGGGTGCCCATCTCCTACACTCCATGCTAAAGCTTTGGATGTACAGAGACCCCTGAGCTCTGGATTGAGACCCACACACTGATTTGCCTAACCTTCCCAGAAGCTCTATCCATGGATCAAACTAGATCATCTAGATCTGTGGTCGGCAAACTGCAGCTAGTGAGCCACATGCAGCTCTTTGGCCCCTTGAGTGTGGCTCTTCCACAAAATACCACGGCCTGGGCAAGTCTATTTTGAAGAAGTGGCATTAGAAGAAGTTTATGTTTAAATAATGTGGCTCTCTAAAGAAATTTCAATCATTGTACTGTTGATATTTGGCTCTGTTGACTAATGAGTTTGCTGACCACTGATCTAGATCTACAATCTAGATCTAGGGAAAGATAGAAAACAGAGGACAATGACAGTAGAGAGCAAGGGAAATGACTGATAAAATTAACATATGGATATGAGTACGATCAAGAGAAGTTGGCCCACCCATTTCCTACATGTTTATGGATCCCTGGGGCACAGCAAGAAATAGGAAGGTCTGGTCTCTGCTCCCAGAGCTGAGGTGCTCAGGCCAGCTGTTCATCAGAATCACCCAGGGAGCAATTTAAAAACGTTTCCTGGGTCCCATCTGGAAACTCCTAAGAGAACCTCCTGAATGGAGATCAGGAATCTGTATTTTAAGATTCCTTTGTAAGACAGATACAGCTTGTCTACAGACTGACATTTGGACATGGCAGATAAACAATAGCAAAGGCCCGTGAGTATTTTTATATGTAGGAGGAATACTGTGAGCTCGGAGAACTTAGAGGAGGGATTAGAGAGAAACACAAAGTAGAATGATGATGAGCCAGAAATGTAGGGCTGCAAAGAACCCTGGAATTAATTTCATTCAGTCTTACAGATCCTGCAACTGAGGCTGAGAAAGAAGACAAAACCAGAATGATGAAATGATAGATAGCCATTAGCAGGAATTCACTGCCTGTCAGTTGGTAGATAGGTCGAGATACAAGTTTGACATGGATGGTGTGTACACAGAAGGTAAAATAAAAGAGATAATCAACAGTCCGGTTAATAGGAGTTATTGTTAGGAAAATTATAATTAATAGAAAATAGGAAATATAAATTAACCAGCTTTATGAGGCAGTTTAATGAGAGCAGACATAAGTAATGGCTAGATATAAAACAGCTATCTGTGAGGGACAGATCAGGGAGCTCTGAGAGACAAATACAGATAGTGACAGTAGAAGGAAATGGCAGGGGGCAGATGGGAGTGACTGATGCTTGACCAGTAGCTGATAGCTGGAAATGACAGGTAAGCTTGTCTGGCAACTACTGAAAGATGAGTAGGTAATTAGTTAATGATATAACCCAGGTGCAAATGACAAGTTAGGAGAGGGACAGAAAGACAGCAGGAAAAGGAGACTGGATGTAGCAAAAAGAACACTGGACTGTCAGTCAGCCTAGACTTGAATCTTATTGTAATACTGAGTTGATATATCATTTTACATAAATGAAAAGGAATGAGAATCAATATTATTTGAATTAATATTAAGTGCCTTTAATTCTTAAACGACCTGTTTTCTGGAGGAGAGAACCAGAGTTCATTGCCCCAGGGTCACACAGTGCGCTAGCAGGAAGGCAGAGGGTGAAATCGCACCGGCCTGCCTGGGAGCTCAGCCCAGTGTCTCCATCTCTTTGTCACCTGGAAAGACAGCCTCTGCAAGGGGGTTTCCCAGGCTCAGCCTCCTGTGGTTCTGGTGACACTTTTTGTTCTCTATGCTAAAACCAGCTCACCGATATAGATGGGACAAGATTAGATATGAGTTTTGATAGTGACACTGCTTAAAATGTTTGTTTTAAATATAAGTTTGAACTATCTTACCATAAAAATGAAAGAAACAATCATGTTTAGGAACGGGCATAGGAGCAAATATTGACAGGCAGCTAGATTCAATGAAAGAAAATTAAAGTGCTCTCACTGAGCTCAAAAATTGAAAGTTTAAAACAATGACATTATTTCAACAAGTGTTCATCTGTGGGTAGTGGAAGTATAAACCCATGTTTTCTTATATTTCTGCAGTAAAAATTTAATAACTAGAACTTTTTAAATGAAGTTAATTGTAAACACCATTCATAAATTGGCACCTTGTTTTAGACAAATTTAAAATGCTGTTTGCCAGAAGGGAAAAGGGGTATTATTTTTTTTAAGTGGGTTTTTAAACAAATATATTTTTTAAACATTTTTAGAATTAACTCCGTTGTTTTGTACATTTTATTTATTTCTATGGTTAGAGCAGCCCAGCTAGCAAATCTGAAATTTTATCTATCTATCTATCTATCTATCTATATATATACATATATATATAATTTCAGATTTTATATATATATAATCTCCTTTAATGGAGACAGGGGCATTGGGCATCAGACAGATAGGATCTTAGTTGATACCAAAATGCGACGTGAGGACAAGCTCCAGAGGTCTGGAGGTCGGCTGCAGTTAGTTTGGTCTGTCCCACTAAGCCCCCTTCCTACCCTCATTGCTCCCCAGGAGGCCCCAAGCTGCACCCCCACACACACACTCCTCCCAGCCCTGCACCTTCTCCTAGTCCAGGACCAAGGTGGAGGGTAGTGGAGGGTAGGGAGCTAGTAGTGCAGGAAGTCCTTGCGTAGGATGAAATGCTAGCCAGCTTGCAAACCTCTCTGATTTGCAGATCCAGGCATTGACAAGGGCGGAAGGGAGCGGGTCTTCAGAGGCCCTAGGACGCTGAAATCCTCCGCGGGGGGCAGACCCGCCCCCTAGCAAGCCGGACTTGGCAGACAGAAAGCTTAGGCGGTGCTTCCAGGCGGCATGTATACAGTAGATGGCAAAGTCTTTCCTTACACTAACCAAATGTGCTTCCCTGTAACTCTCATCTACTTTTTGCAATAAAAAAAATTTATCAATGACAAAAATACGTGATTACAATTTCACCCAGTCCAACCCCTCCAACACCGCAGTATATTCTCTCCCCAGCTCAGCAGCCGTCCAGGTGACCAGAAACCAATCCCCGAATACCCAGAATCTTCTTTCCACTTTACTCAGATGCCCTCGCATTTGCAAAGCCATTTCCACGGTTCCCTGCCTGCGTGCCAGTGAGGAGATGGGCCACCCGTCCGACCCCACGCAAGGCTGGCGGCTCCCTAGCTTAGCCCCTCTGTTTCTGGTGTTTCTGCCCCGAGGACACTGGGCTTTCAGTGGACAGTCGAGGCCTCTGGCCGGACTGCCGTGAACAGCAGCAAATCAGCGCGGCTGGAGAAGGGGGGTGGTGGTGAGGGACAGTAATCACTGCGCTGAGATGCTCCCGTGTCCACGGGGCGCCCGGCAGTGACAGGTCACCCGGCACCTCCCGCGGGCTTTGGGAGAGGCCTTGGGATGAGGTCTGACTCCATTTCCAGCGAGTCCTTGGGGCTGGATTAACACCCTGCGCCTCAGCCAGGCTAAACCCTTCGGGCGCTCTCAGACCGGCTCTGCCGCAGGGCCTCCCGCGCCGAGCCGGAGAGGCTCCGGGGGAGGCCGAGGAGGAGTGGGGCCCCGCCGGGACCCGCCCGCTCCCACCTCCATGGGGCTCCCAGGGGAGCGGGGGCCGCCAATTTGGGGCGATCGTTACCTGCGTCTCCGAGAGGCTGAGGCTGCCGGCCAGCTGCTTCCGCTCGGCGCCCACCACGTAGTGGTTCTTCTCGAAGGCGCGCTCCAGGCGCAGCAGCTGCGAGGGCGAGAAGGCCGTGCGGATCCTCTTGGGCTTGCGCGCGAAGGGGCCGTGCAGGAGCAGCCCGTCCTGGGGCACGTCGCTGGCTGCCCGCGCCGCCGGCAACAGGCAACACACGCGGGAACAGACAGAGAGAAGGGGCGCCGTGAGCCGCAGCCCAGGCATCCCGGGCCCCGCATGCCTACTCCCTTGAGTACTCCGATACCCTCCCCAATCCTTAGCCCCTTCTTTCTTCCCTCCCCCTTTGCCTCCCTTTCCTGAAGTCCACTCCCTGAAACGCCTCCACACTCCCGGAGTTACCCTGTGGGAGTCACGCAAAAATGCCGTGCTGCTGATGGGCCAGGGGTGGGCCCCACCCTAGGGAGGCGCCCATGGGCCCAAATCCACAGGGCCTGCAGCAACCCAACAGGCCGGGACTGAGGAAAGTCCCTTAGCTCTGTTCATCTGCTTGACCCGTCATATTTCACTAAAAGTGGACCAAGCAGAGAAGAAGGGCTGGCTGTGGGAAAGGTGACAGGGGAACGGTGAAGCTATTAGGCATCCCCAAGCCAAACACAGGCTCAAGAACTAGAAGATACCCAAGGAACTCTCCCCTCACACAAACCGGCCTTGCTCAGGCCACTAGCCCTTTGAAAATGCCTACCCTTGGCCCAGGCTCTACCCTGCAAGGGGTAAGAATAGGCCAGCGGTTAGGTCAATGGCCAGGCGGCACCAGCAGGTCTAAGGTCAGGTTCTTCTCCCCTTCCCCTCCTCTCTCCCTCTCCCTACCGGAGACACCTGCTGCTCTCAGGTGGGAAAAGACCTTGCTTCATCCCTGAATAGTTCCATGTTAAAGAAGCAGGTTTATAAATATCTTGGTATTATCTTTCTCTCTAATACATAGATATAGGTATATTGGTTTCTGGGTGGGCATGTGTAAATATATGCTCCAGCCCCCCTACTGTCTTTTTCTTCTATCTACCACACATGGTTTTCAAAGAGTGTGACTGTCCCTTGCAAATACTGGCCACCATGGGAACTCAGCTCCCAGGTGCAGGAGGCGGGGATGACATTGGACTGGCTGAGGCTGGGGTGGTGGGGTAAGGAACCACGAAAGCTAAACAAGCTTCCGCAGACAGTCCCGGTCTCCATGAACTCCCGCCCCACCCCCACTCGGCCCTCTCAGGCTTGGTTGCACAGGCTCACACACCCAAAAAGGTCCTGGATTCTCACGCAGTGGCATGTAACAATCCCTCTGACCCACCAATAATGAAGAGCCCTAGAGAGAATGTTTTGACAGAGTTAGCTGATCCAATGAATTTCTTCAGAAATGGCCTTGGGTTTGACTCAATGTGACCTGCTGTTTTGTTCTTAAGACAATTGCTTAGATTATTCCTTTAAGATTTCCCAACTCTGAAACTATTGCTGTAAGTGAAGCCAGGCATATAATTGAGGTGATGCTAGAACTCCCCAGGTTCACGTCCCTCTGCTGGTAGAAAGTGCCTGATATTACTTTCTGCAAGTCCCTGGCTTCAGACACTGACATAAGCAAACAGGGATGCCTGGGACTGAGGGGCTAGTGCCTGAGGGGGGAGACCAAGTCCCCTGACTGGGAGAAGTCACTAATTTCCAGTCACCTTATCCATTTCAAGTGGTTGGATCTGTGCTGCTACAAAAGGGAGGGGGATCATAGAATAGGGAGGTAGACGGAGGGACAGCATAAGCATTAGGCCCTTCAAAATGGGCAGGCCTAGGACTCCCAGGCCTGATTGAAAGAAGAGTTTAACTTGTGGTAGTGGAGGGGACAGATGCCCAGAGAGGTGGTCTGACAGAACGGAGTAAGAGGGAGAGAATGGAGGAGCTTGATCTGAGTAGGAATCAGGTTTAAAATCTCAAGTGTGGGCAAGAGAAAAGTGGGAGAGATAGGTGGGAAGCTGATACTTCTCGTTGATGTTAAAATAAATTGCTTCAAAAAACACATCGTTCTAAGCCCAAGATGAAGTCCTAGCAGGGGTATCCTCTGGACAAACGAGCTGATGGGAAGAGAGAAAGCCTGCTGCACACCAGCATTTGCACGGTTTGGCTCCAGCAGCCAGACTGGCCCCAGACTGGCCCAGGCTGGTCAGAGTGAAATGGCAGCAGAGGGACCCCAGGTGGGAGTGAATGGGTCATATGGAACAGAGGATCCAGGACTGTGGTCTGGCCTCAGTGTGTGTGACTTGATGGCCATTTTATAATGTGGTTTGTGTCAGCCTGACCCTTGGGACAGGGGTGCAGTGTGGCCCCTGCACACACACACACACACACACACACACACACCACCAGTAATTCTGGGCTGTGAGAGTGGGCGGTCAGTTTCAGACAAGGACAGCAGAAGATTTAAAAGGGGCTGGCTTAGCCTTTTCCCTGGAGCTAGCAACTGAACCCCACCCAATCCAGTTTTCCTCCGGCCTCTCTTGGTGGGCCACTTCAAGGCACTGGCTAGGAACTAGCAAAAGAGATTCCTAAGAGCCAGGCAGCTGGAGGTGGGAGCTAGGGGTGGGGAGGGCCCAGGGCTGGAGTTGCGGTCTCTTCAGCAAAGATAGCGGCCGGCCAGGGCCTCTAGACCTGATGGCGGGGCTCAGGGACCTGGGGCTAAAAGAGGGAGAGGCAAGCCGAGCCGCGGAGATAACCCCAATCCCCCTCCGGCCCGAACAAAGGCGCCCTTTGAAGCGCCGGCCCATTACCCACGCGGGTCCCGGAGGGTAGGGTATCCAAAAGCCCGCTCCGGACGCTGCTCCCTGGCTTGGAAAGTTCCTGACGTCCGGGGAAATAACACCGAAGGGCAGCCAACACCGGGTCTCTGCCGTCACCTCCCCTGCAGGCCTCGAAATCCGCCCCCCTGCTTCTGGATCCCGCTGCTCCGTTCGGACCATCCCGCGCCGGCTTCTCCTCTCCAGCCGCCTAGCTCCGCGGAGAGGCCGCTTCCCCGCGCGCCGGGCCGGGGCTGCGGGAGAGCCCAGAGCAGGCGGTCCCGTTCGCTCCCGGAGGGTTCCAAAACCGGGCTGAAATGAGCATCTCGGCGGCCGGGTTCTCTACAAAACGCGGCGCCGGGAGCCCCGGGCCGGCTCTGCTCGCAGCCCGGAGGCCCCGCGGGGACCGCAGGGTGCGCACGGGGCTGGCGGTGGGGCGCGACGCTGACGCGCCCTGAAACCAGAACGTCTCGGGGTTCGAAAGTCCTTCACTGTCCAACGAATTTCCGAGTTTAAAAAGGCGGTCACGCTCGGCTCCATCTCCGCATCCAGATACGGTTCTTGGGAGAAAAATCCAAACGTTTTTGCAACTCGACAACGTGCCCTCCGGGCTGGTAGCTCCAGGAGCAGCGGCAATTTCCTAACGGGCTTTGCGGAGGACTTATGGGGCCTGTCTGACTGGGGATGCTCCGAGCCGGGGCTGGATCTCTAGAGAGAGGGACCGCGGACCTCGGAGGCTGGAGGCGAAAAAGATGGCTGGGAGGATGCGGGGCGCGTGGGTCGGAGCCCAGGCGGGCGAGGCCTTCTCCCGCGGAGCAGAGATCACAGGGCTTAGGACCGGCGGTGCCCTCCCGCCTGGGCCGCCGTGCCCTCCTCCAGTCTCTCTGCAGAGCTGGTGCAAAGGTTCACAAACACCCGCGACTCTCAAATCGGTCCTCTGGCACTGGGTTTCAAGACTCCAAGCCCACGGAGGACCGGGGGAGTTTGCTCAATTTTGAACAAAACTCAGTTTTATCAGTAAACATTGATTTTAATTGACAGGTTTCCCGCCCAAATCGCCCCCTTCCCCACACAAACACCCGGATGAGTTGGATAAATCTTCGAAATCCCCGGGGGAGAAGTGTGCCCACAAAAATCCTCCTTTCAGTAATTACATTCTCTCATTTTGTGGGAATCTATTGGGTCCATGTCTACCAGCAGACGGGACTGAGAAAAAACAGGCTGACAAATCGGGACCCGGGACAGCGGCTTCCTGTGAAACAAGCGGCTGTAGCTAAAGCTTCAAGAGATCCTTTTTCTCCTATTACCTAGATAATTGTACCAGACATCCAGTTTACTTTGACTGTGTAGACGGGTTTACCGCCAGTTTAACTCCAGGAGCCTTAGCTCTCGCCACAGCTACATCCTTTTCATTTGTTTCACTAAAATCCGGGTTACCTAGCTCTAGGTCATGGAACCTCACAAGCCTGAGGTCTGGTCTACACTAACAAATACCGCGGGAAACTAAGGCAATTACTGCACAAATAAAGGCTACTCTTAAAAAAGAAGGAGAAGAAGAAGGAGAAGAAGAAGAGGAAGAAGAAGAAGAAGAAGAAGAAGAAGAAGAAGAAGAAGAAGAAGAAGAAGAAGGAGAAGAAACTCCAAATTCAAGGAAGAAAACGAACTCCAACAAATGCAATTCTCCTTCAGAAAAGTCAGATAATTGAAACATACGTGTGTGTTTGTATGTGTGTGTGTGTGGCCGGTGAGAGACTCTTCATTAGCAAACCCATTGCCCTTAGAAGACCAGGGGAGCGGACTGCCCAGGACCTTACCAGCTTTTTGCCCCCACCCCCCACCAGCAGCCTGGTGGGCTCCCAGAGCAGGCAAACAGCTGGAGGAAGCCGGTGTGCTATTGCAAACCGTCCTCCTTCTGGGTCCAAGAGGCGCGCGTGTGACTTGAGAAGTCGGGCAGAGGTTGCTGAGAAACACCTCCAGACAGCGGAGAAGGCCACACTGAACATTAACTCTCCCGCTTGCCCTGCCCGCGCGCGGTCCCTTCTTCCCAAAGGCCGAGGCACGCGGGTGGACCTTGCCCTGCTCGGACGGGCCAGCGGGGGCGGATCCCTGGGAATCGGTGATGGACATGACTGCCCAGTATGGTCCCAGGTCCAGCCGGGGCGGCGGACACTGCGCTCTCTGGGCTGGGACTGGCTCTGCCAGGAGAGATTAAGACAGGCCGCCGCCGAGAGAAGGCTCCAAAGATGTTTCCGGGTTTGGCATCCAGTGGGCATCGTAGCTAGGAAAGCCTGAACATCCTAACCCGGTTTGATTCTCTGGGAGAGAACCCAAGGCGGCAGGAGCATGATGGGTCTGACGCGGCTCTTCTCTTGGCCTCCGAGGACCCGCATCCTTCTCGAGAAACAACTTCCGAACAGCCCCGCGCGCCCCGGAGCCTCCCCCGCGCCACCACAGCGCGGGCGGGCACTGGCCGGCCGGCCGGCCGCCCCGGCGGGCACTGCGCGGGCACTCACCCTGGAAGCGGTGGCCGAAGAAGCGGTTCCGCAGCACCCAGGGGTAGAAGTGCAGAGGGTCCCGGTGCTGGGCGCCGAAGAAGGAGTGCGGGGGCTGCAGCGGGGAGGCGCCCAGCTGGTGCGCCTGGTGCACGGTCAGCGCCGGGTGGCTCATGGCCTCGGGGAACACGAGCTCGGGCCCGCCGTACAGCGAGCGGCCGGCACCCGCGGCGGCGGCGGCGGGGAAGCCGCTCACGAAGGCCGCCTCGGCCGCGCCGGGGTGCGGGTAATTGAGGGCGGTGGGCCGGAGCGGCTCCTCCGAGGCGGCCGCCGCCAAGGAGTGGGAGCCCGCGCCCCCGCCGCCGTTGCCCCCGCCGGTGCCGCCGTCCTTGGCCACCAAGGACTCGATGGTAAAGCCGCGCTTGGCCGTGGACTGGAACATGGTCGCGGGAGCCAGAGCCGAGAGAGGATTAGCCGGGCTCCGGGGAGCGCTCCGCGTGCGGGCGCCGCCGCCGCCGCCGCCGCCGTGCGGGGTATGCACCCAGCCAGGCACATGCACTCACACCGGCACCCCTCACCTCCCCCGCCCGCCCGTGCTCAGCCTCTGCGGGCGAGCCAGGCGCGGAGCGGCGAGGGGCGTGCAAACCGGGGAACGCGGAGCCGGGCCACGGCGCACAGCTAGGCGAGCTGGCCTCCGCCGCCCAGCCCGCAGCTCCCAGCTCGTGCACTGGCGCGGGGTCCGTGTGGTGCTGCGAGCTGCCTCTCCTCCGGCCTGGGGTCTGAGCTCGGCCTCCTTCCTCCTTCCCTCCCTCCCCAGTCCAGCCGGGACCCACCCCGGCCCCGGGTCCCCGGCAGTGCCCGGCCGGGCTTCGGCGGCGGCACTGCGAGGCGCGAGTGTGCCGGCACCTGCCCCGCGCGCGCCCATTGGCCGCTGCTCACCTGCCCGAAGGTGGGGGCGAGGCGGGGCGGGGCGAGGGGCCGCGGGTGGGGAAAGGGAGCCGGCAGTCGGAAGCAAAAGCCGGACTGGAGCCGCAGCAGGGCGATCTAGGCATTCCCCCCCACCCACCCCACACCCCGCGCCCTTCTCAACGCCGCTGGCTTCTCCCGCCTCCGCCCTTTCGCTGAGTCTGGCGGCCGCCACGAACGTCTCAGCCCGCGCGGGAGCCGAAGAAGGCGTCCGTGGGGCCGGGGGCTTGGGAGAAACGCCAACCCCACTCCCCGGGGTGTAACTCATCGGAGCCTTCCCCGATGCGTCCCGGGATGCTGTTTCAGTTCTCAGACAACTTGGAGAGGAGTGGAAAGTGGGTGTTTAAGGTTCTCCCAAGGACCAGCTCCCCGCTGCCCTGGCGTCCCGCGTGCCCACCAGCTGTCTCCAGGGCGGCCCTGTTGTGGATGAAGTTTCGCGTTTTCTGGGTGTCATGGGGGGAGGGAGGAGGGGAACAGCTCCAGAAAAGGGGCGCCCCATTCTTTTCAGGAGGAGCAAGGCCGGGAGCAGCCCGGCAGCAGCCCTGCAGCCCGGCAGCCGAAGTTCGCGGCCTCAGGAGCATCCTCTTGGCCCAGCCCTCGCCACGCGGCGGCTGGCGCAGGACAGAGACCGCCGGCGTCGGCGCGGGGCGAGCGGCTTTCCCGCCTTCTCGCCCCCATGCAGGCGGGCCGGGCCGAGTCTGGGCCTCGGGCACAGTGTCTTCCATTGGAGCTGGCTGAGCAGTCCACTCCGTCCCCGAGAAGACGCACGGACCGTCCCAGGAACGCAGCGGCCGCTTGGTCTCCCGGGACCCGGCACCTTAAACCCGCCACCGCAGAACAGCGAGCGACGAGCCTGCTCTGGCCAGTTTCCATCCCGTGCAACCATTTCACCGGCGGCGGAAGAGCTGTTGGCAAGGAGAACCAGTGCTCCGCAAACTTTGTCACCCGGGCCGGCCTTCCGGGCCGAGGGAAATCCCGTGCCGAGCGAGGCCTGGGAGGACGCTGGGCGGTGGCAGGGGGCTGAGACCCGGCCGGCCGGCACCGTGCGAGATGGGGACCCCAGCGCCCTCCGCCTCCTCGCCGACGTTGGGGTCCATCAGAGCCGCCCGGCCGCCGTCCTCCGGGTGCGCAGATCCGGGCTGGGCCTCGGGGCGCCCCGGGGCCAGGGGGTCGGCGCGCCCCGGGAATCTGCAGGGACTCCAGGCCGGGTCTTGGGAGTGGCCCTCAGGAGCGCCGGGAGCCCTGGACCCGGAGAGCGAGCGCTCCGGGCGCTTCGGCCGCCACAAAGCGGGTTAAAGTCTATTTTCCACTCGACTGCTCCGAAAAGCCCCCGTTCCTGCCCCGTCGGGCGAGATGGAGGGGTGGGGAGAGCAGGGAGAGAGGGGGAGGTGAGCCACAGCACCCGGCAGCCTTTCGCGTCCCGGGAAGCCGGGACAGAGCCCGGCGGAGGCGCCCAGAAGCGACTGCGCAAGGAATCCTTGCAGAACCCTCCGTGGCGAGCGCTCGTGTCTCTTTTGCTGGCCTCTCCGGATCTCTCTGGCCCTCTGGGCAGGTCTTTCCTCTCTCGCATTTGTCTCGGGCTTTCTATGTCCCCTACCTCCTGCATCCCTGCTCCTCCACCCCGACTTTTCCTCTCTTTCTTGCCCCCTCTCCTCCGCCGCATCCTGGATCCTGGAAAAGGGGAAGCTCCAGTCTCATGGGGACGAAGACCCAAGCGGACACATCACCGAGAAGATGGCAGTGCGGGTCTGGGCAGAGGCCCTGACGAGAAGAGTTTCGTTCTATCTGGAAGGAAATGCAGGAGAGCCAGTTCCCGGCAGGGACTGGACGCGGGTTCAGCTGGATCAGCATTGCCGGGCCCACGCTCCGAGAACACACACCGAGCGCTGGGGGCTGCGAGGGAGAAGGTACAAGTTGAGTCCGCCCCTAGGACCTTGTGCCCCGAGCCAGAGATGAGCCCACCTGTCCAGCCGCAGGCCCTCGGCGCCTACCTCACCGTGAGGCTGAGCACTGGCCTCAACTCGCTCAATGGGGCAGGTAGAGGAGCTGGGAGCCTACCAGGCCGTTCCTAGACTCGCATCTACACACCGGCCACATCTCCTTCACATGGCTCTGGATAGACTTGATTGTCTTTCATTCCATAGGCCTTCAAAAACAACCCTGTACCCGTGGTGGTGCTTCCCAAATACTCTGACATCCAGCCCCCTGTCATGAACTCCGTTTTACAGGTGAAGAAACAGATTGCATGAGACCGGTGACTCCAGTGTGGTCACGGTGCGGTCACGGGGAGGACTCAGAGGTCTGGACTTAGCTCAGGTTCTACCCCCATCCCACCCCCACCTCTGAAGCTGCAGCCAACTCTCCCAAGTTGAGGCGTTCACAGGATTATGATGAAGTGTTGGGGTGTGCTGGATGTTGGGGGCTCTCTACCTTCATCCTCCCTCTCCTTTTCTGTACCTCTCACCTCTTCCTCGTGTCTTCCTGTAGTTCCCTGATTTCCTTCCTTTGCAGATATTTATCCCTAATCCGGTTTCCTCTGTTTTTGCTTTTCTTAGCCTCTTCATCTGTTGTTGCTTCCCCTGACTTTGGTTAGGAGAACTTGTCTTCCTCAGTGGGGGTCTCTAACCTGCCACTGGGTTCTGATCCACCATCAGTGCCCTAAAGGCCCCAGTGTCTGCCTGTGCCACCTCCCCTTCTCAGGGTCTCTGCATAGATCACACCTCTCCTTCTGCCCACCTCTTCCCTGCCTCCCCATGATTATGTACACACAATGCCTCCTCTCCTCATAAGACAGCCCCCCTCCCCTTCGCCTTAACCAAAGCCTGATGCTCCCTCACCCACCCCTGTTCTCCATCCCTTCCTCTCTACCTTTCCAGACCTCCCTCCCAGGTTGCCCAGGTCTGTTCCTGGCCAGAGGCTGGGCATGCCTTCCTCCTGCTGGAGTGCCTTACCCTCCCACCCACATGTGGGCGGCTTGCCTTTCCCTGGCACCTGCTCACCCCTCTGGACCACCCATCCTGACTCTGGCCCCTCATCAGCTTTTCTCCCTTCCTTCATCTCTGCAATTGTGACTCTTCCATTTCCTAATGGTGACACCTGGGGCCAATAAGCTTACACGTGTATGCAATGGCAAGCATTATATGGGAGCTCTGTAAGAATGAAATGAGATGAATATGTGGTGCACAGGACAAAGCCTGACTCCAGAGAGGCAGTAGGTAAATGTTAGTCTCTGCCTTTTGTCCATGCGGGGAAACAGAATGGTCCTCAAATCCTCACGCTTGTTCATCCTCCAAATCCAGTCCGTCACCAGGCCTTGCAGTTAAGTACTTCTCAAGTCTAATCCCCTCCCTTTTTGCTTCTTTGCTTGCTAACTTAGTTCTTTACAATTCAGTTCCACAACTTGCCAGGAAATCCCTTCCATCACCGCCAATCTCCACTCTGTAGCATTCACCTGCAGGACGGAGTTGTCTGTGTCTGCTATCTGTCTCCCTCACTAGGCTGTGATGTGCCCCTCACCCACCACTCCCCACGCTGGGAAGCTGTGGCGTATATCAGGGCACCCCCCCCCCCCCGCGCCCCCCTTATAGCCCAGGCAATGGTTGTGCAACAGCACCCCAACCATCTCCCTCTTACTTCCCATCCCCCTTTTCTCTTCAGCCTCCATTCAGCTCCATGTGTCCCTGCCCTACAGAAAGTCTTCTGTCATGTTTCCCTCCCTCTGTTAACTTTTTTTCTTCATACCCCACCTTTCTGAATACGTTTTAGTCTCTCTCCAACTCCCTCATTTCCCCTTGAGTCAATCAGCCTTTGCAACCGGCTTCCACACCGTCACATTGGGAAAATGGCTTGGAAAAACTCCCAGGCTTTTAATGTAGTGTTATTATTGTACAACAGCAACTTGTGCTTGTAGGGACAATAATAAGCACAATTTTATGAAGCTATTGTGGGATTGAATGAGTTATAATCCCCACCCAATGGGCTTAGAACATTGCCTGGCGCATAGTAAGTCCTTGATACATGTTAGCTATTATTTTACAGAATTGTGCTGTCTGATAGGGAAGCCATGTGGCCATTGTGTGCTTGAAACGTGGATGGCCCAAACTGAGATATTCTGTAAATGTTAATGTGGAAGGCTAAGTGTTAAAAACATGTAAAATGTCATTAATATTTTCTGTATTGATTACATGCTATAATGATAAATATGGGAGTGAGCCAAAGAAGATTAATAATAATAAATAATGCAATAATTAATAAGTAATATAAGAGTAAACTGTTTCATGTACTCACAACTGTAATCCTACTTTTGCCCACCTCTGTATTTGGGCTATATTGGTGTTAAGTAAAATATTTTATTAACATTATTTTTACCTCTTTTCACTTTTTAAATGTAGCTACTGGAATATTTAAAATTACATATGTGTCACACATTATATTTCTATTGGACAAAGTTATAGAAAATACAGGTAATCCAAAAGAATGAGGGAGGGTAAATGCATATGGGGAAGGGAAAACAGATATTTTATAGTTATCAAATCCTACCACCCAGAAACAGCCATCAGAAAATTCTTGTAGTATATCCTTCCATTTTTTCCCTTTATATATATACCTCCCTTAAAAGGGGGGAAGGGAATCATGCTGTATACAGTTTGTAACCTGCTTCTTTATCTTTATAACCAATCACAAGTATCTTTATGTCTCATTAAATATTCTCTATTGGATATTTATGCTGTTTAGAATTTTCAACAAAATTTTGATCAACAGACTCATAGCTATATTACTTTTTCTGTAAATGTCTATCAGTAAAATTTATAGAATAATAATTTCCAGATCTGTAAT